CTCCCCCGCTCATGCTCTGTCTCTCTCTCTCTCTGTCAAAAATAAATAAACATTAAAAATGTTAAAAAAAAAAAGACAAAAGATAACAAAGTGTTGGTGATGACATGGAAAACGGAACCCTTCTATACTGTGAGAATGTAAGTTGGTAGAGCCATTATGGAAAACAATATGGCAGTTTTTCAAGAAATTAAAAATAAACTACCATGTGATCTGGCAATCCCACTTCTGGGTATTTATCCAAAAGAACGAATCAGTATCCCAAGGAAATATCTGCACTCCCATATTCATTGCAGTATTATTCACAACAGTCAAAATATGGAAACAACCTAAATGTCCCTAGACAGATGAATGAAAAAAGAAGATGTGGTATATACATACAATGGAATATTCAGCCTTTGAAAAAAAATCCTGGCATTTGCCACAACGTGGATGAACCTGATGGATGTTATGTTTCATGAAATAAGCCAGAAACAGAAAGACGCACACTGTATAATGTCATTTATATGTGGAATCTAAAATACACTCATAGGAGTGCCTGGGTGGCCAATCAGTTGAGCGGCCAACTTCAGCTCACGTCATGATCTCACAGTCTGTGAGTTCAAGCCCATGTCAGTCTCTGTGCTGACAGCTCAGAGACTGGACCCTACTTTGGATTCTGTGTCTCCCTCTCTCTCTGCCCCTCCCCCACTCACACTCTGTCTCTCTCTTTCTCTCTCAGCAAATGAATAAACATTAAAAAAAAATTTTTTTTCACAATCCCAGACTTCAAGCTATACTACAAAACTGTAATCATCAAGACAGTATGGTACTGGCACAAGAACAGACACTCAGATCAATGGAACAGAATAGAGAACCCAGAAATGGACCCACAAATGTACGGCCAACTAATCTTTGACAAAGCAAGAAAGAATATCCAGTGGAATAAAGACAGTCTCTTCAGCAAGTGGTTCTGGGAAAACTGGACAGCAACATGCAGAAGAATGAACCTGGACCACTTTCTTACACCAGACACAAAAATAAACTCAAAATGGATGAAAGACCTAAATGTAAGACAGGAAGCCATCAAAATCCTCGAGGAGAAAGCAGGCAAAAACCTCTTTGATCTTGGCCACAGCAACTTCTTACTCAACACGTCTCCGGAGGAAAGGGAAACAAAAGCAAAAATGAACTACTGGGACCTCTTGAAAATAAAAAGCTTCTGCACAGTGAAGGAAACAATCAGCAAAACTAAAAGGCAACCGACAGAATGGGAGAAGATATTTGCAAGTGACATATCAGATAAAGGGTTAGTATCCAAAATCTATAAAGAACTTATCAAACTCAACACCCAAAAAACAAATAATCCAGTGAAGAAATGGGCAAAAGACATGAATAGACACTCCTCCAAAGAAGAATCCAGATGGCCAACCGACACATGAAAAAATGCTCACCATCACTCATCATCGGGGAACTACAAATCAAAACCACAATAAGATACCACCTCACACCTGTCAGAATGGCCACCACTAACAACTCAGGCAACAACAGATGTTGGTGAAGATGTGGAGAAAGAGGATCTCTTTGGTATTGTTGGTGGGAATGCAAGCTGGTGCAATCACTCTGGAAAACATTATGGAGGTTCCCCAAAAAACTAAAAATAGAACTACCCTACGACCCAGCAATTACACTGCTAGGCATTTATCCATGGGATACAGGTGTGCTGTTTCAAAGGGACACATGCACCCCCATGTTTATAGCAGCACTATCAACAATAGCCAAAGTATGGAAAGAGCCCAAATGTCCATTGTTGGATGAATGGATAAAGAAGATGTGGTATACATATACAATGGAGTATTACTCAGCAATCAAAAAGAATGAAGTCTTGCCATTTGCAACTACATGGATGGAACTGTAGGGTATTATGCTAAGTGAAATTAGTTAGTCAGAGAAAGACAAAAATCATATGACTTCACTCAGATGAGGACTTTAAGAGACAAAACAGATGAATATAAGGGAAGGGAAACAAAAATAATATAAAAACAGGGAGGGGGACAAAACAGAAGAGACTCACAAATGGAGAACAAACTGAGGGTTACGGGAGGGGTTGTGGGAGGGGGGATGGGCTAAATGGGTAAGGGGCACTAAGGAATCTACTCCTGAAATCATTGTTGCACTATATGCCAACTAATTTGGATGTAAATTTTTAAAAATAAAAAATAAAATTAAAAAAAATTTTTAATAAAATAAAATACAATACACTCAGAAGCTTAGAGTAAAGTGTTGATTGCCAGGGGCTGGGGGAAAGAGGATATGGAGTAATGTTGGTCAAAGGGTACAAAGTTTCAGTTATGCAAGATGACTCAGTTCTAGAGATCTAATGAACAGCATGGTGACTACAGTTAATAATACGATATTGCATACTTGAACTTGCTAAGAGGGTAGCTCTTAAATGCTCTCATACAGCACCCCCCACCAAAAGATACCTATATGATATGTTATTAGCTAGATTGTTATAATCATTTCACAATGTAGAAATACATCAAAAGATCAAGATGGGGTGCCTGGGTGGCTCAGTCTGTTAAACGCGGTCAGTGGGTTCGAGCCCTGCATCGGGCTCTGTGCTGACAGCTCAGAGCCTGGAGCCTGTTTCAGATTCTGTGTCTCCCTCTTTCTCTGACCCTCCCCTGTTCATGCTCTCTCTCTGTCTCAAAAATAAATAAATGTTAAAAAAAAATTTTTTGAAAAAGATCAAGTTGTACGCCCTAAATTTAATACATAATTTTTATTTTTCAATTATCCCTCAATAGAGCTGTTTTTTAAAATGGTGGCTACGTAGGGATTACCCATCCCTAAAATTACCTAAAATGCAATTGGTAAATATACTAGTGGATAGAGGTTCATTTTTAAGGTAATATTTTTAAATGGGATGTCATTTACTAATGTTAAATAAAAGATGAAATTTTGGTTTTATATTTACAAGTTTGCTGAGTTGTAAACTCAGGAGATACTATGAAAATGGAGGCAGGAGGTGAGAATGACAAAGGCATGATCAGCGGCCAGTCATGGGGAAGGAATGGGATACAACAGTGAGCACACACCAAAAAAAAAGCATGGAAGACAATGTAACTGACAAATAACTAGCTGAGGAGTTAAGTGAATACACGTGAGACCCTTAAAGGGCAGAGATCAACATGAAACATCTAAACTAGAAGGAGCCCCCTAGAGGAGAAAGGACACTTGCTGTTGTGGAGACTGGGAGTTTGATGGAGGAACCAGTTAAGAGTGGTAACACTGCTGCAGAAAGGCTTCTAGGTGCTTCCATTATCCCTGATGGGCTATCTTCAGCATAGTATATATTTAAGAACTTTTTGGTGGTAGGTAATGGAAATACACAATAGTGATCACCACTGGTTGCTTCAAGTGGCCTGAGGAAGAGGAAAGAGGGAGTAATTGGGAGAGGCCATAGACAATGAATCATGACTACCAACAAGTTCAATGTCCTAGGAGATGGTGTGGAGTTGAAGGGAGGCAAGGGAACAGAGGGGAAAAGGCTGAGTGGCTCTTCCATTAACTATGGAGAAAGGGCCACAACTGATCCGGAGGCAAAGTTTGCCTTAAGCTGGAAGGACCCACCTACATACCAATAGGAAGGATCTCCCAGAGAATGTGTAAGAGGAGAGAGACTACTAGCACATAATGACTCAGGTTTGGACAAACTGAAGAGCTTTCTCTTCAGGGATTGTGGACCTAGTAGTAAAAAGCGCCTCTTTTGGGGGAGATCAAGTCTCTGCTCCCTTTCATAGGTGCCTCCTTCTCCCAGAAGGGCAAGCCTCCTAAGAAAAGGCCCTTGTGCCTCCACAGGCAACACAACCAACAAACCGTATCCACACATGAGGCCTGGCACTTATTCTGGATCAGGACAAAGACTCTGAGAGGCATGACTTCAGAGCTTGATTCTTACAGCCGGAGGGAGGAAAAAAAAAAAAAAAAAAAAACCAAGACGTTCACTTAAATAGTCAGATAGTATGCTTTTATCCAGACTGGAATATGCATTCATGTATATTTTCATCTTTGGAACAGGTGGTTTGAAATGCAAATAAAGTAATAAGTGTCAGAGCCGTATCCTAGCAGTAGCTGCTTTGCAAACGTTACCATGGCACCAATTCAACAGTGTTCTTAGAGGCAGCCATACCTCAGAAAGGTCTTTCTAACTTGGGACAGCATAGTTCAAAGGAACTACTAGGCACAAACTACGAAAGAGTCCTGAACCAATACAGGAGGTGAAGATTTACAGCACAATTGCCCTCTGAAGCCGCTTCAAACAGGGCATGGTACTTAAAAGAGAAAAGAAAGGAAACGGACTATCTTCTAGAACACCTGGAATGTGATCCAAGCCTGGAGACAAAATGATGGTAATTATAACTGCTAACATTTGTTTTTAGCTGCTAACAGATTGTGCACAGATTGGGAAGGGCAAACTCCATTCTCCAATTACTCCAGTGCAAACTGTGCTTTACCAGCACTCACTAAACCCTAGCTGGATGAAGAGAGAGCAGATTGTCCTCATGTATGTCTCATTTATGTTAAGTTAAGGAAGGCTGTCATCCCAGGGCCGCAGTCCAGGGGCTACGCAAAACCGGAAGCAAGGATCTGGGTTCTGTAGATCTCTGCTTCTTACTGCCCGTAGATCTGCTCTAAGAGGGTAGCACGCCTTTCCCAAGCACAGCCAACGTGGGGGGAAATGGACCAGCTAGTGGGGACACAGGATGCTGGGGAGACAAGTCTTAGCCAACCTGGCCTGTGAACCAACTAAGATTCCTAAGGTAGGCCCTGGGCTGAACAGGGCCCCTGCCTGGGTAGGGGGAGAATGAAAGGGCAGATACCAAAAGATAATAATACAAGACAGTCTGTGATCAGTGGCAAACTGATGACATACACCCCAAAGTCTCTTAAGAGTTCAAAGGGGGCAGGTGTTCTTTCCCATTTCCCTTCAGATGAAGGTGATCAAAGAACAGTCTCTGGTGCTCACTTTGGCAGCACGTATACTAAAATGGGAATGACACAGAGATTAGCATGGCCCCTGTGCAAGGATGACACCAAATTCGTGAAGCATTCCGTTAAAAGAAAGAAAGAGAAAGAAAGAAAGAAAGAAAGAAAGAAAGAAAGAAAGAAAGAAAGA